GGAGGAGAGTCGGGGTGACCGGGGTGCGGTGATCCAGGGGACCCGGGACCCACCCAAGGGAGCGGACTATGGGAGGAGAGTGGGGGTGACCGGGGTGCGGTGATCCAGGGGACCTGGGACCCGCCCAAGGGAGGAGAGTCGGGGTGAGCGGGGTGCGGTGATCCAGGGGACCCGCCCAAGGGAGCGGACTCTATGGGAGGAGAGTCGGGGTGACCGGGGTGCGGTGATCCAGGAGACCCGCCCAAGGGAGCGGACTCTATGGAAGGAGAGTGGGGGTGACCCGGGGTGTGGTGATCCAGGGGACCCGGGACCCGTCCAAGGGAGCGGACTCTATGGAAGGAGAGTGGGGGTGCGGAGATCCAGGGGACCCGTCCAAGGGAGCGGACTCTGGAAGGAGAGTGGGGGTGACCCGGGGTGCCGTGACCTAGGGGTCCCCGGGAGGCTGGGGGCTGCGGGTTCGGGTCGGGGGCCTTGACCGCTGTCACGCAGCGTCCCTGGGGTCTCCCTGAGGGCCGTGTCTGTGCCCGCCACCCACAGGGACGCCGCCACCCCGCAGACACCGATGGGCCAACGCCGTGCAGCCTAAGGTCGGCGAAAGTTACCGTGTTCCCGCTCTGTCGACGCTCCCTCCGCAGACTGAGCCGGCCTTGCTTGGCTTCCATGGTTTAGAACTCTGAGAGCTGCGGTTTCCAAGAGTTGTTCTTAACTTCCAGAAGCGATCTCGGTACCCCCTCCTTGCACTCTTGACACGATCGATAAGTCTGTGTTTTGAATTAAGAGTCGTTGACATTTCTTGCCCTAAGTTTATCGTTCAACACGATGGGTTTCATTTTGGAGATTTCACACCGAAGCGCTCGCGAAGGGGAAGGGTAAGATATGTGGGGTTTACTTAAAATAGGTGTAAGTGGAAACAGTCCCGTGGCTGAAATGGGAGTGAGGGTATCATAAATAGTTGAAGTATGTTGATAATTGTTGGAAGCAGGGCTAGCTACAGGGGTTTCTTAAATTACCTACTTTTGCGCAGGCTTGAAAACCTTCCATAAGAATTTCGGGTTTTCTTTTTGTCATGTAAATGGAGCTAACCTGTAGCCACTCACTGAGAACTAAATCCAACGGCTTCCCCTTTGAAGATTTTGCTGGTTCTTAAGGTTTTGTGTAGAATCGGCAGCCGAATTTGTATTCTGATAAGACATAAATGGTACTCAAACGGGTTTAGTTGAGCTAATTTAAAGATTCGTAAGAAGGATAAAGAAAGCATAAAATTGACTTTGTTCAGTTCCTTTTTAAAGAAAAACCAATAGCAGGGCATTGAGCAACCGAGAATCAGACTGTTACATTTTGCTGTTGCTAACCAACGCTACCCTCCTCCCTCAGCCCGAGTGCTAGGAATACGTGCAGGAGCTACTACAGCCCTTTGAGTTTTATTTAATTACGAAATTTGTTATAAAGTCAATTTTGACATTACTAATATTACATTAAACAACAAACTTCCAAGATTATCGCCAGAATTAAATGTATTGACCTTGCAGCATCACAGCATGCGGCACATCCTATTCGTGACTTTTTAGTTGAGAGAATACTTCAGTTCTCAATGACTGTTATGCTCTGAGTTAATACCTGTCTGCCTGTCATTTCTTGTTTACAAATATTCTTTTATTATGCTAAGAGTTCTCTCAATTTAACTAGACAAACAGAAAGTTGAATACATTAAATGAATTTCCATATCGTTTAAGCTTGCTCAAGAAAGGTGAACTGAATCTATTTGAGAATTGAAAATATAGGAGCTGGAGAAATGCAGTCATTAAGAGCATTGGCTGCTCTTCCAGAGGACCCAGGTTCAATTCCTGGCACTCACATGTTGGGAAATACCTGTAATTACAGTCCAGGGGATCTGTAACCCTTTTTGGCCTTCCTGGACAACAGGCATACCTGTAGGCACAAAGTCCATACACATAAAATATTTTTAAAAATTTAAAAAAGGATTAAAAGTAACAAGGATGTGAAGGTCAAGAGGAGATTCTTAACTTATTTTTAAAAAGGCTTATAGCTAGCCCATTCGGAAATAAAATTTATAGTTTAATGTTTTTTGTAGATGTTTTGTTCTCTGTAGTTATTTTTTTGGAGAGGGAAACAGTTGGCTAAAGTTTCATATTGGTGCTTGCAGAATTAAAAGAAGGTGTCATTCCTTGTTCTTGGCATGAAAACGGACTACTGCTATCTGTAATGCATGGCAGTAGGCTTGTAAGTCTTAAAAAAATACCATCCATTGGAGAATGATAGGTATTGTGATGTCATAGAATAAATCACTACAATAAAAAAGGACTGTCCATTAGTAGTTTTTCGGACTTTTAAGACAGTGAGTACCTTTTCTTTGGTATATTCCATGTATATGTATGTGTATATTTTTGTATGTGTATTTCTAAGCACATAGCAGGTGTTCAAATTTTTTTCTAAATCATTCATGAAATGACTAACAGTATAGATAATAGGAAACATTCAGTGCTTAAGTAGGAATATCTATTGTTGATAACTAATTTTATTACTGAAAAAAATTTGTTTACATATTTCATAGTTTTTATTGCTTATAGTCATTATCCATTGGCACTGTAACATTTTGTGTTTCTATTGCAGTATTTAATGGAAATGAATAACTTATTTTGAGAAAACCATGTCAAAATCAAGCACAAAACACAGAGTATGTTCTCGGGAATCTTCAGTGTCTTCTCTCCTGGCAAGCTGCAGCCTGAGTGGGAGTGGTTCCTCCAACGCGGATGGCTCTTTTCAGTACAAGGACAAATTGTACAGTTCTGCATCCGAGGCCCTGCAGGCTTATATTGATGATTTTGATCGAAGCAGAGACTATCCTGGAGCAAACCCGGGCAGAGGGAATTTTGATGAGGAGTCCGATACTGGGCTGCCATTTTCCAGCTGTGTGCACAAACCTAACAATGGTATGCTCTGTTCTCTAGGCTTTCTTGCATTCTTTTATGTCCAGTGATTTAACACATTTGAGAGATGTGCCTTATAAAGTTGGATTTTTTTTGTTGTTATTTTGGAATAAAAATAACTTTTATATTACTGATATTTTCTAAAACAGATTGTATACTTGTCATGATCCTAGGAGTTTTTGGCTAAGATCTTTTGACCTTGGAGAGAACACCTAGGACACCAGTAAATATAGTTGACAATAGTACGTGGCTGATCCTGAGCTCTTAATCCATTTTTCTGTAATGGAATGATGGAAAAAATATTGCTATTGTCTTCATAAGCTAATGCCTAAATAATCCCAATCATTCTGAGTTTATACTTGCTCAGTTTCAGCTGGTGAGATAAGAATGTTATTTTTTATCATTTGTATTCTGTGGATCAATAGTCACAATATGCTGAGTTTGTCCTTAACAAAGCTTTCATGAAGACAAGTCTGAACAATGAGTTGTTGATAAACAGTCTACTAAACACTGCAGATGAGTATAGTGTGA